ACTCAATTACATAAATACTATTACTNTGTAAAATGTTTACTTTTGTATTCAACATATAGGGTGCACGATTCCTTCAGTTGACCATGACCGTTATTATATTTTAATTAAACATATAGTTCTTGTACGTCTATATCAAACATATATGGTGTAGAATGTTTACTCCTATATTAAACATATAAGGTGTACAATTCGTTCAGTTGACTATGACCGTTATTATATTTTAATTAAACATATAGTTCTTGTACGTCTATATCAAACATATATGGTGTAGAATGTTTATGTCTATATTAAACATATGTCCATACACTTGGAAAAGAAACATTGAAGTAAATTACCCTAAATCGCTTAAGCGATCGTGCATCTGGCAGATTGATTATGCATCGGACTTGATCGCTTAAGTTTGAATGACTAATCAACGGATTGTTTGTGCAAATGGTTCTACAGAGTTACAACTCCGTACATAAAATTAAATTATCTAAACTTATTATATTACTATTGGCAATAAAGTATTATTTATTGAGCGAATCGTACAGAGTTGTAACTCTGCAAAACCATTTGCGCAAACAATCTATTGATTAGTCATTCAAACTTCGTTTACTCTTTGAAACAACAACTCTTTTAAAATCAGACCGAGAAGAATCTCAAAAGAGTGCAATATTGATCAATGCTCTACAAATTTCACCGTCTTCTTCTTTATCCATATCTCAACTCTGAAGCCATTTTCTTAGGGTGTACGATTCGTTAAGTTCACCATGACCGTTATTATATTTTAATTAAATTTATAGTTCTTTTACGTCTATATCAAAAATATATGGTATAGAATGTTTACGTCTATATTAAACATATGTCCATACACTTGGAAAAGAAATATTGAAGTAAATTATCCTAAATCGCTTAAGCGATCCTATCTATTTAACCTTGGTCGCTTAAGAAGGTTACAACAGGTGTGTTGAAAACCTTATTGTTATAACAGTTGCCATTGTTCATAGTCAAAAAGTTTCTAAAAAATTTTGGCACTCTCTTGGTCTACAAAGTGCAGAGCATATGGTTATACAGTTTAATTTTATATTATTATTATATTTTTTATATATTACTTTCTTGTCAAGAACTAACAAAAATAATAGAATAACAATAGATATTTCAGTGTGATATCTCACATTGCTTAAGCGATCATGCCTAATTTCCTTTGTACTGTACAATAATCATTCTCAAATTCAAGGCTAGAGATTTGGGTAGAAGAGAACTAGATAACCATGGAAGCTTATTTAGGAAATATTAGTATTTTTTAATTAATTTTAGACCCCTTAAGTTTATTAATTTCATTAAATACCCCCTGAAAAAATGTTTAAAAATTAACAAAAACAACCCCACCCACCCACCCAAACTTGCCAGATTCTGGCAACCACCATCAGTGGTTGCCGAAATCTGTCACAATGGCCTACAAATGACTAGAACTAGCCGAAAATTTACCAATATGGCCTTTTTCGGTCAAATCCACAGTGGATCTAGCTAGAAAAGGTCACATCTGTCGTCATCAACGACCAAAGAAATGGTTGTCGTTAACAGTCAACGATGGCCAAATCTTGGGCATCGTTGACTGACAACCATGGCCATATATTTGGCCATCACTGACAGCCAGATCTGGACTTTTGCGACCATCGATGGCCAGATCTGTGGTCGATCTAGTCGGAAAATGCCATATCGACACCCTACATACCGGATTCAACCGGTCTGCATCATAATGCCCTTTTCCAGCAAGATTCTAATGGTAGTGACTGGAATCTGGCACTGTGGATAGTAGGGGTGTTTTTGTTAATTTTTAAACTTTTTTCTGGGGGTATTTAATGAAATTAATAAACTTAAGGGGCTCTAAAATTAATTTAAAAAATATACTAATATTTCATAAATAATTAAACAAACAAATATTTTGGGAATAGGATTGGGAATATGGATAAGAATATTCAACCAAACGCACCCTTTATGTTCTGAAGAAAGAAGAAAAATATATGTTCACTAAGCTTCTATGGTTATCTAGTTCACTAGGCATGATCGCTTAAGCGATGCAAGATATCACTTAAACAAATAATGGCTTATGTATGTAGGATCGCTTAACTGATANAATGAAGAAGAACCTTTGCAAAAATGTATCTGAGTTGTCCTTCTACGTCAGCTTGGCAGTAAGTTTGTTGATCTTGCCTTTGTATCTGCAGCTTAATGTCAAAATTATTTACTTCTCTCCTCTTGGCTAGTCAAACGTAGGACTGTAAACGAGCCGAGCCAAGCTGAGCTTTTGGCTTATCGAGCTCAGCTCGTTTACTACAGGGTCGAGCTCGAGTTCAAGCTCGAGCCTGGTGAGCCTCAGAATTGAGACCTAACTCGAGCTGGCTCACGAGCTATCAGTTTCACGGTGGTGGCTGGTGCGTGTCTGCCATTTCGGGCAGTTGATTTCACGGTGGTGGGCAATGGGCTGCTGGCTGGTGCCATTTCGCAATTTGGGGGTTTGTGTGACTCTTTTTCCAGTTGCCGAGATCGGAGACAGCGACGGAGATGACTGATTTCACGACGAGGACTGGTGTCTGGTTCGCAGGTTAGGGTTCTTTGTTTGCGATTTGAGAATTAGGCCAACTGAAATTGATTTGGGGATAATCGTGTAATCGTGTTATACGATTTTGCACTTTGGGTGGGTAACTGTCATTTTTTTAAGTTTTTTCACTGAAAAATATCAGTTTAATACCTCATGGTTTAAAAAATCACCAAAGCATCCTGTGTAAGTGCACAGTGTATACGCGAGCCAGACCAGGCTCGCGAGCCCACAAGCCAAGCTTCACTATGTTTGAACACGACTTGGTTAATAAACCGAGTTCGAGCCGAGTTGACTCGATAATTGCTGAGTCGAGCTCCAGACGAGTCGAGCCGAGTCGGCTCGCAAGCCGCTCGACTCGTCTGACAGTCCTAGTCAAACGGAATTGCATCCATCTTTTGGCATTGTGCTTTGTATCTCCTTTACCAGTTGCAGATATAGAAGCACGCTGGCATAGAGTTCAGGAAAATTTGTAATAGGTACTCTCTCAATAAAGCCAAACCGGGAAGCCTACATTGTTTTGTTTAAATTCTGCGCAAATACACAATAGTAGTACTGAGTTGTTAATCACGGAATTACCAGTACATTGTTATTAATTAAAATCAAAATCAAAATTTAAGTGTAACAACAAACGCACTTTTTTTTCCAAGTGATTTTAGAACTGCAAAAAAGCATGTAGAAACTAGAAAGTACTTGCCTAGGAAGAATAAGGAAGCAGCTCAGTTGACTAGAAGATTTATTTCAGTTTATGTAGTACCCAAATTCACTTTAACCAATACAGTTAATAGTCATGGAAATACAAGTAATTACATATACCTGCCAAGCCATTTCTCTTGTTCATCAATGTCTACTGAGGCTCACAGTTCTCCAAAGGCAAAGCAACAGAATAAGAGGGAAATTTCATCAAGCTGTGGAGACAACAATCATAATGGCTGGAGTAATTATTGAACAACAAAAGCATGTGACGCTGTAAAGTTAAGCCTAAAGGTACGTTAATTTCAAAGTAATCTTCTAAGACCAAAACTTAAATCATGTAGAATATACAACTTCAATTCAAAGTTCACCCAAGTTACATCCCTTTAAAATTCTAATGTAACTATATCAGTTGTTTTCATGCAACATTTCAATTGTTGCTGAAGAAAACAGAGCAAAAGGAGTATATATGAAGGGAAAGAAGGTACTTGGGAAGGAAAACAACTATTCCTATCATCCTTTGTACAAAACGCCATGGTGAAAGCTTCTGCCTGCTACACTAAAATAAAAAGTTTCCCATTATATGACATTTTACTACTTTTTCCCATCCTTGAAAAGAGCATCAATCTCACTAACACTAAGGTGAGATTGAAAAAAAAAAAAAAAAAAAAAAAAAATTATTTAGATTTTTTTTTTTTTTTTGGTACCGAAACACCACAATGGTGTCTCATTTACATGACTTTAGGGATCATTTTCTTTTTATTTGTAGTGAATAATAAAAATTAAAAAAACTAGTTCCTGGGTTCTTCTTTTGCAATACATAAATGTACTATTATTCTCTAATAGAGCAAATAAAAGAAACTTTCAAAAAGTCATGAAGGGATCTCAATTGCCACATCTATGTAGCTTCTCCACAACAAATCACATGGATGTCAATAAAATGGTAACTTAAAAATACCGTTATTAGCAAAATTTACTAAATATTTTAAAATGATCTTTTGGTCCCTTTAGATGGGAATAAACAAAAACACTGAACAACCAAGTGCTCTCTGAGTATCAATCATTAGTTCAGATATAAATTATAACACACATTGTAAATCAATAACACCACAATTTTGAGATACTATTAGGTTCTTTAAATCACTTATCGGTATCAAAATTGTCAAAACTATCCTATTATATTATTAGACTAAAAAAAAAGAATTCCTAGTGAATGGTAATATATTTGGGAAGCAGAAACAGAGGCCATTCAGAGTGAAAACGAAGCATCAGAAATCCAGTAATGTTCCAAAGAACATTGACATTCCAACATTGGCTTTTCTAATTTTCATTTGGACACAGTATGAATGTTAAGATTCATGTTTAGTCATTCACAAGAATTTCATAGCTTAATGTTGAAGAATGTTATGCAAAACATTCATCCTAGCGTAAAAGAACTACAGATCCAACATTTGGTAAATAAAAAATAGCTTAAATTAGCGACTACCACAAAAACAAATAATTTTATATTGAACACAGTTCAAGAGTTAAACCTGTTTCATTTCACATGCTTCTGAAATCCAGGGGAGGAATCCAGAAAATCGATTTTGCCCTGATAAACATCTAATAACTCAGGAACTTTTTCTTGAAATTTGTTTACAAATCTCTCAATAAATTTGCTCTCCCCAATTTTTATGTAAGTGCTTTGACATATATCTTCTTTGATCAATCCTTTGAAAAGCAGAACCTAAATAACCAAACACCGGGGAGCAATCCTCTTCTCCAAACTGTAACAGAGAACTTCTGGCATTTTGGAAATATCTCGCGACAGCCTACCCATTTTGTTCACAAGGAAGTCCATAGCTTTTGTAATCTTCTCCTCAGATATTTGCATACAATATGGAAACCTTCTAAAAGCAGTGAGAATCTCATCCTCGGACAAACCCCACCTCCTATAAACCTTAAACTTAGATTCCCAAACCGATTCCTTCAATTGGTTAATTACTCCAACTGCCTTAACAAACACAGTTTGGGTGGGATTAAATCCCATTTCCTTAACCTCATTGACAACCTTGGAAAATTTATAATGTTTGGAACATGCTGTGCTTGGCATATTAGTCACAAGAAAAGAAATTCGAGATTGAGGCACACCAATATCCTTCAAAAGAGCTATATTTGGACCAAAATTTTTAATCCTTAAGTCCATTAAAAATAGCCATAGCATGCCCTTCAAAACTTTGACAACTTTTTGTCATGAATGACAACATTCTTGAGGAAATTGTAATTGGGGATAAGATGATTCTTTAAACTCATACATAACAACGTTGGACTCTTTGCTATGATCATTGCTAGTTCACTACTTGAAACCCCCATAGAACGGAAAAACTCAATCTTAGGCAAAAGTGTCTTTTCGGGATCACTTGAAATGACTTGTGGGCATCCTCTCACAACTTTACAGATCTGGGTTTTGGTGAAACCATGATCGCTGAGAAACCTAAGGACTGAGTCAGCTCTTTCAGTGTTCTTCAATTGAAAGAACTTAGAGGCACAAACAGCAGATTTTAAAGACAACCCACACGAGTTTATCAAGTATGAAAATGTAAAAGACTCTGCCTGTTCACTCTGTTTAGTTTTTAACGATCTCTTCTCTACATGCGAAGATGATGAAAGAAACCTAAGAGAGAAAATCTTATTTTGAGAAAAACCCAGTTGAGTAGTTGTGAGATTCAGAGCAAAATCCCTATCAGCAATTACTTTTCTTGTTGTTTTACAAAGAAAGCGAAACATAATGAACTTAACTTACTCAACTTTAAACTGCATTCCGCAAACTTCAATTGAAACTGCCAATGCCAAGACTACGAAGGCTGAAGCTGAATATAGAGCCTTCAATTCTGAGGAGAAAATTAAACTCCTGGCCATCCCAAGTTTTCATTTAAGAAAATCGCTTTGAAAATGTTTTTATTTTTTTATTTTTTTAATTTAGAAAAACTGATGTGACACAGTTAGGATTCATTAAATATGTAAAATAGGTTAAAATAAAAAGATTCAAACATATGAGGACAAAATCATAATTAATGGAAGTTTTTAAAATTTTAAAATTTAAAAATGAGCCCCACCCATTCAAATCGCTTAATTGAAACTAAAAAGGCAAAATCAATTTGTTGAACCGTAAACCCATTGTTTGGGATTTCCATTTCCGGCGAGTACAATCCACATTCTTGCAAATTTTCACACCAAATTCAATCATAAAGCTTCATTTCTTAAAATCATGGCTGACACTCACAATGAGGAGGAAAACCCAATGCCACTTCGAATCCTAGAGTCTGGTGGCTCAAGCAATTCAATGGCTACTCCGGTGGATCATCCGATTAGTGAAGGTGGTCCACAGGCAAAGGAGACGACGGCGGCACAACAACAGAGAGAAGAATCGCAAAACGGTTCTGAAGAGGAGGAGGCCGGCGAGAATCCAGGCGAGGAGGAGGAGGCCAGTGAAGAAATGGTACGTATTTGTTTTGGGAGTTCTGGTACTATATTGTATTTTAGCTCACCATACCAATTCTATGCTTAGCCTTTGTTTGGTGCATGGCTGTGGTGTTTCAAGTCAATGATGCTACAGGTTTAGATATGTGATGGTGTACTTGTCGTGTACTACTTGTGGATGAAAAACCACTGGTGGAATTTGAATGATTAAAAGCTTTTTATTCTATCAGTGCTTCTATGCGGCTCTGATTAACTTGCCAGTTCAGATCACAGGTTTGAATTTGTGTGTATGTGATGTTAGTTTGATGGCCAGTCATTTGCTTTCAAGAGACAGGATCAAATTGAATTTGTGTGTATGTGATGTTAGTTTGATGGCAGTCATTTGCTTTGATGAGTTTGAAGGAAGTAATATAAGAATTTGGTAGGTTTTGTTTCTTTACTTCAATCTTGAATATATGGTTAGAAGAACCTTTTACTTGCTTATTATTAACTGATCATGTTAGATCTTGTGTTTTGTGGTGAGGTTTTATTTTTCTGTTGCCCAAAATGGAAATAAGAAATTGTATTTGGTTGTTGAAACACTTGCCTGAAAATTTTCAAGTAATTGTTGATTAAATAAGAGAAAGTTGTGTATTGAACTATTGATAGATGGATTAATCAAGGGTCATTTTTATCCTGTGATGAAATAAGGGAGTGCAATTATGTTTTTGAATTCAATAAATTCATAAATCGGTCGGAAGAAATGTATGGAAGTCATAATAACATCCCTTTGCTTTGTACTGTCGCTTAAGCGATCTAGGATTGCTTAAGTGATCATGTCCGAGGCAGAATAGCATCTGCCCAGATCTATCGCTTTTACTCTTGGTCGCTTAAGCGATTCCAGATCGCTTAAGCGATCTTGTCCGAGACAAAATTAACATCTGCCAAGATCTAAGATCGCTTAAGCGATTCATCGCTTTTACTCTTAGTCGCTTAAGCGATTCCAAATCGCTTAAGCAATCTTTTGTATTGCTGGTCGCTTAAGCGATTCATCGCTTTTACTCTTGGTCGCTTAAGCGATTTCAGAATGCTTAAGAGATCTTGTACAAGGCAGAATCATCTGCCTAGATCTAAGATCGCTTAAGCGATTCTTCGCTTTTACTCTTGGTTGCTTTTGCGATTAAGGTGATCGCTTAAGCGATATTTTCTAGAAAGCTCTTGGTCACTTAAGTGATATATGCGGTCGCTCATATATCGTTTAAGTGATCATGGTCAAAACAGATTTTTCCTACTTTTCTCCTGAATTATGTAATAATCTCTCTTTATAGAGGTAATTTCTAAATTGATTGTATGATATTTTTTTGATTACAAAGTATGTTGGCAGCTTATTAGTTGTTTTGGTTTTTTTTTTTTTTTTATATTTTGTTTATATCGATTTTGCAGATTTTGCGGAGCGTAAACTACAAGGACTACGGGTTAGAAATTGTAAGCGATAAGGTACCGTACTTCCTTGTAAGGGTGACAGTCAGGTTGAGTTGGGAAGTTTTTAAGAGAATAAAAGGGATTTTAAAGGAAGTGAGGAATGGTGAAGAACGATTCAAAGAGACTTGTTTCGGTCATTTTTTGATATCGGAACAAATTGGAAAAAGGCGTTCTGGGGGCAGGGAGTGCATTATATGTTGTTGCACTGATGTTGGCAGCAGACGGCGGCAGATGTGAAGGCTGAAGCTGAAATCTGAGCTGAAATGACTTATCCGGCAGATCAGCAATGGAGATGGTGATGATTGAAGAGTTCACGTTGAAGACTAGAAGACTGGAAGTTGAAGAATGAAGCGCTGAAGCAGAGTAGAGCAGACTGCAGACCGAAGACTTGAAGACTGAAGACTGAAGACGTGAGGCGCTGAAGCTTAGCTGAAAGCTTGAAGGAGATCTGACATTGCTTTTGAGATCTCGAATGGAGGACACGAAGAGGGGGACTAGACTGGAGGAGATCGTGAATGGCAGCAGCAAACGGCAAAGTGCAAACCAGAAGAAAAAGTGAAAACTAAAAAATTGAAGGAAGAAGACGGCTCTGTATCAGATAATGACTATCAGTGTATCTGTAGCCAAAACAAAATAAAAAGAATGTGTTTTTTAATAAAATATTTTGAGGGTTTGGTTTTAGTCTGACAACAGTTTGACTTTTGCATGTGATTGTTTTGAAATTAAATTTTTTTTTTTATTTCAGTTTTTCATGCGTTAAACCGGAAAAACCAAGACCGAAAATTTTTTAAATAGCGGTTGGACCGTCGGTTTACTACAGTGCGACGGTCCAACCGCGGTTTGAAACGGTTTAATAGCAAATCCCGATTATTCACTCTCTTCAAACCAGAAATGTAAGCGGGTGGCGGTCCGACCGGTTCGACCGCCCGGTCCGGTCCGGGTTTCAGAACCTTGGAAAATTAAACTCCTGGCCATCCCAAGTTTTCATTTAAAAAAATCGCTTTGAAAATGTTTTTTATTTTTATTTTTTTAATTTAGAAAAGCTGATGTGATACAGTTAGGACTCATTAAACATGTAAAATAGGTTAAAATAAAAAGATTCAAACATATAAGGACAAAATCATAATTAATGGAAGTTTTTAAAATTTTGAAATTTAAAAATGAGCCCCACCCATTCAAATCGCTTAATTGAAACTAAAAAGGCAAAATCAATTTGTTGAACCGTAAACCCATTGTCTGGGATTTCCATTTTCGGCGAGTACAGTCCACATTCTTGCAAATGTTCACACCAAATTCAATCATAAAGCTTCATTTCTTAAAATCATGGCTAACACTCACAATGAGGAGGAAAACCCAACGCCACTTCGAATCCTAGAGTCTGGTGGCGTAAGCAATTCAATGGCTACTCCGGTGGATCATTCGATTAGTGAAGGTGGTCCACAGGCAAAGGAGACGACGGCGGCACAACAACAGAGAGAAAAATCGCAAAACGGTTCTAAAGAGGAGGAGGCCGGCGATAATCCAGGCGAGGAGGAGGAGGCCGATGAAGAAATGGTACGTATTTGTTTTGGGAGTTCTGGTACTATATTGTATTTTAGCTCACCATACCAATTCTATGCTTAGCCTTTGTTTGGTGCATGGCTGTGGTGTTTCAAGTCATTGATGCTACAGGTTTAGATATGTGATGGTGTACTTGTCGTGTACTACTTGTGGATGAAAAACCACTGGTGGAATTTGAATGATTAAAAGCTTTTTATTCTATCAGTGCTTCTATGCGGCTCTGATTAACTTGCCAGTTCAGATCACAGGTTTGAATTTGTGTGTATGTGATGTTAGTTTGATGGGCAGTCATTTGCTTTCAAGAGACAGGATCAAATTGAATTTGTGTGTATGTGATGTTAGTTTGATGGCAGTCATTTGCTTTGATGAGTTTGAAGGAAGTAATATAAGAATTTGGTAGGTTTTGTTTCTNCAACAACGGCCAACTGATTTGGAGGACTACTTCAAGTTCAAAAAGGATAGAGACTCCCCTGGTGAAGCCCGTAATGCACTATTAATTATCGCAGTTTTGGTGGCAACTGCAACCTTCCAAGCTGGAATGAATCCTCCAGGCGGCGTTTGGCAAGACAACGGCACTAGCATCAACAACAAAAATAATGCCGGGAGTTCTATTTTGGGATCTGTGAATGCTGTTACATACGGCATTTTTATGGCTTCCAACTCAATTGGGTTTGCATTGTCTCTTCACATGATCTACATCCTCACTCACAATTTTCCCTAGCAATTAGAGCTTCAAGTATGTATGCTTGCAATGTTTTCCACTTACAATACTGTTGTGCCCAATCTTGCACCAGAAAAATTATGGCTCTTCGTCACTCTGTTGACGGCAATCTTGCCTGCAATTATACCATTTCTAACCAAGTGGGTTAGAAAATATATGAAGCGGATTGGAAAGCTTGTAGTGAATATCATCCCCACCACAAGATTTCAGATGTTGACCTAAACCCTAAAATCATGCTATATACTTAACACCCGTCGCACCACGAATGAAGTCTTTTAGCAGTCCCCTCTGCATAAAATTGTAGCACCCTCGTTGTCAGTTTTTCATACTATACGATAATAATATGGTGAGATCTCTTACAAAACCAAACTAGTATCAATGTAAGTGGATACTACATGTTATAAGTTAAAAGTTCGTTGTTTAATTTATTTCTATTCTCAATTTCATATTATGAATATTACATCCAATATTGTGTTCCAACGTAATGATAGTAAACAGATAATAAAGGAATTCATAATATAGAGAATAATCAATGTCTAACACTAACTCCACCGGTCCACCGTCCACCCGGACCCACACTAGGACAAACTCTTCTTCTCCAAAAACACCTATATCAACAAACACCTAATAAATTCAGAAATACAGACGTTGTTCAAAATTTATTTTAAGTGGCACTTTTAACTTGTATGATAACACTGCCGGCCAGATAGCCTTGGAGATTATGAAGCCTCTGCAACTGTGAAGGAGCCCTTCAATATAATGACATCTATTTACGGAAATTCATTTAGCCTGAAGGCTTCCTTTGAAATTGCGGTACTAGGAACCAACAAAGTGCTCTGCAACTACACCAGTATCATAAAATATGCCTCTGATCATTACAAGATTAACACAGTAGGGAAGGCGTGTCAGATGAAGGACATTCAATGGAAGCATGTTGAATGGTGATACCATGCTGGAAATGAAGAAGTTGGCAGAAACTTTTTGAACTGCAGTTTTACTGCCAGTTGGACTCCTACTGTTCATGTAGAAGCAGATTTTGAGTTACTGTATTGGATTGATTCAGTGACATGTTTAGGTGTATTAGGTTTGGTTAAGTGTAATTTCACTCATGCTTGTACGTGTATTAGTAGGTGTAGTAAGTTTAAATTTGAATTTTGAAATTTCATTAGTTGGAATAGTGGCGTGTGCGTTGTATACTTTTACCCCTGTTTTTTTAATAAAAAACAGAGCATTATTGTAGTCTCATGTTTCTCTTTCGTTCATCTGTTTTTCTCTTTCGTTTCCATGCAAAACCAACAAGTGGTATCAGAGCATATATAGATCTTAGAGAGCCTGATAATTAACCTTTATTCTCCTCACTTTCAACCCATGTTACGACACTCACTTTGTCAAAACTCCAACATTCAGTTTTAATGGCACAACCTTCAGCCTCTCTCACTCCTCCAGTTTTTAATGTGAGCAATACCACATGTGGGCAGTCAAGATGAAAGCATTCCTTCGTGGACAGGGTTTGTGGCAGTACGTGGAAGAGAATCGTCAACTGCCTCACTTGGGACCAAATCCCACCCTGAATCAAATCAGGATGCATGAAGAAGAGGTTGCTAAGGCATCGAGAACTCTCTCTCACATTCATGCAGTAGTGACTGACCTTGTATTCACAAGGATCATGGCGCATGAAACACCAAAGGAAGCATGGGATAAGTTGAGAGAAGAGTATACGGGTAGTGATACAACAAGAGGCATGCAAGTGTTGAACTTGAGAAGAGAGTTTGAGTTGCTGAGAATGCAAGAAACTGGGAAGGTGAGGGAGTATGTTGATAGATTAATGAGTGTGGTTAATAAAATTAGATTGCTTGGGGTGGAGTTGACGGATAGACGAATTGTGGAGAAAGTGTTGGTGAGCCTACCTGAAAGGTTTGAGGCTAAAATCTCCTCTCTTGAGGATTCTAAAGACCTGACTCAAATAACACTTACTAAGCTGGTTCATTCCTTACAAGCTCAAGAGCAAATGAGGCTTTTGAGGCTGGAAGACACAGGTGAAAGTGCTATGGTTGCAACACATAAAGGAAAGTTTGTACAGGGAGGAAATAAGAGAAATGCAGGAGACAAGAAAGGAAAAGAGAAGGCCAACGTTCAGTGGAACAAATCTGGTGGGATAAAAGAGTATCCATCGTGTTCCCACTGTAAGAAAAAGGGACACTCAGAAAAAAGGTGCTGGTTTAGACCAGGAATTCAGTGTATAGCCTGCAAACAATTCGACTATATAGAGAGAGTTTGTAAAAATAAAGGGGAATCCTCTCAGCAGCAAGCTCAGATGGTTGAAGATGTGCAGCAAGGGCAGGAAGCTGAGCAATTATTTATGGCATCCTACGAGACGCCTCACCATGCAATGAAACCTAGTTGATTGATAGTGGGTGCATCAATCACATGACTTCAAATTTGCAAAGCTTCATCAGCTTGGACAAGGCGTTTCAATCCAAGGTCAAAATAGGGAATGGAGAATTTGTGGATGTCAAAGGGAGAGGTGATGTGGCTGTGCAAACTCAATCAGGTATTAAGCTGATTTCTGATGTGCTTTATGCTCTTGAATTAAATCAAAGTTTACTTAGTGTAGGACAAATGTTAGAGAGAAAATATGTCCTATATTTTCAGGATCAATCTTGTAAGATACTAGATAGTAAGGGCTATGAACTTATGAGAGTTAGAATGATGGGAAAAAGCTTTCCCATTGACTGGAAAAAATCAGAATTCAAAGCTCATAGTGCTAAGCTAGATGAATCTGAAATTTGGAACAAACGTTTTGGCCATTATCACTACCACAGCCTCAAGCAAATACAAACCAAACAGCTGGTCCTGAACATGCCGAAAATTGATGAATTGAAATCCATTTGCCATGCATGTCCACTTGGCAAGCTGAGCAGGCCTCCCTTTCCCGTAAAACAAACTTGGAGAGCTGTAGAAAAACTCCAACTCATCCACACGGATGTATGTGGACCTATGCAAACAACTTCTTTGAATGGGAGTAATTATTTTGTCTTGTTTATTGATGATAAAACTATAATGTGTTGGGTGTATTTTTTGAAGCAAAAAAATGAAGTGGCTGGAGTTTTTGGGATGTTTAAACAGCTGGTTGAAAACCAAATTGGTTTGAGTATCAAAATGGTGAAGAGTGACAATGGGAGTGAGTATACATCAAAAGAGTTTGAAACCATCTGTATAGAGGCAGGAATTAAGCACCAATTCAGCAGCCCTTATACTCCACAACAGAACGGAGTAAGTGAAAGAAGAAATAGAATCGTTGTGGAGTTGGCGAGATGCATGTTGGCTGAGAAGAAACTACCAAAATGTTTTTGGGCAGAAGCTGCAAACACTTCAGTCTATTTGCTTAATAGACTTCCCACAAAAGCCTTGATCAACCAAACCCCTTATGAAGCTTGGTATGGGATCAAACCTACTGTGGATCATTTAAGGGTCTTTGGCAGCATTTGTTATGTCTTGGTTCCAGCAGTCAAAAGGAGGAAGCTGGATGACAAAGCAACTATAGGAATTCTTATTGGATATAGTAATCATTCTAAGGCATATAGAGTGTATAATCTAGAAACCAAGAAGATTCATATCACTAGAGACTTAAAGGTTGATAAGAAAGGTGTTTGGAATTGGGAAGAGAACAAAGTTGATGAAGGAGAAAGTCCACAATAGACTGATGCTATTGGTGATGAAGTTGTTGAGGAAGATGGAAGTGAAACTGAAGAAGAGCTCCCGGTTAGAAGTACTCGATCATTGGCTGAGGTATATGAGAGGTGTAATATGGCTGCACTTGAACCGACAAGCTTCACTAAAGCAACAAAATCTGAAGCTTGGAGAGTTGCTATGTAGGAGGAGTTAGCAATGATAGAGAAAAATCAGACCTGGAAGCTTGTGGACAGACCAAGGGATAGAAAAGTGATTCAAGTCAAGTGGATTTTCAAGAAAAAATTTAATCCTGATGGTTCAGTTCATAAGCACAAAGCAAGGTTGGTTGTTAAGGGATTTGCTCAACAATATGGAATTGATTTCCAAGATACATTTGCACCGGTGGCAAGGCTTGACACAATCAAACTGTTACTTGCTTTGGCTGCACAATTTGGGTGGAAAATATTTCAACTGGATGCCAAGTCTGCGTTTTTGAATGGATGGCTCAATGAAGAATTTTATGTTGAGCAACCGGATGGGTACCACGTTAAGGGCCAAGAGAATAAAGTGTATCTCTTGAGGAAGGCTTTATATGGACTAAAACAAGCTCTTAAAGCCTGGTATAGTAGGATCAATGAATATTTGAGTAGCTTGGGTTATTTGAGAAGTCCCAATAAACACACATTATATGTGAGAGAGGTGAAGGGTGAACTGATTATTGTCTCACTATATGTTGATGATCTTCTCATTACCGGAAGCAATCCAAGTAAGTTGAATGAGTTTAAGGAAGCCATGCATTATGAATTTGAAATGACAGACCTTGGGAAAATGTCTTACTTCCTCGGTATGGAGATTAATCAAGCTTCATGTGGCATATTTACTAATCAAAGGAGGTATGTTGTGGAGGTTCTTAAACAGTTTGGCATGGATAAATGTAAATCTGTCAATACACCGCTGGTTGCAACTCAGAAATTGAGCAGAAAAGATGGGGTTGTGAATGTAGATGAGAGCTTATACAGAAGCTTAATAGGTTGTTTGCTGTATCTAACAGCAACCAGGCCTGACTTAATGTTTGCAATAAGTCTCCTCTCCAGGTTTATGAGTAATCCAAGTGAAAACCATTTCAGGGCAGCCAAGAGGGTGCTTGCGTATATTAAAGGTAATCCTGGACTTGGTGTGTGGTTCAGGAAGTCTGAAAATTTCCAGCTTGTGGGATATTCGGACAATGACTGGGTTGGATCGATTGATGATATGAAGAGTACATTCAGCTATGTGTTTTTTCTGAATTCAGGTGTTGCGTGTTGGATGTCCAAGAAGCAGGAATCAGTAGCTCAGTCAATTGCAGAAGCAGAATATATTTCTACTGCTTCAGCTGTGAATCAAGCCATTTGGCTTAGGAAGATTTTGAATGATCTAAAGCAAGCTCAGAAATAGCCTATTGTGATTTTTTGTGATAATCTATCCACTGTTGCTATGGCCAAAACCCAGTTCATCATGGCCATACAAAGCATATTAAGATAAAATTTCATGCAGTAAGGGAAGCTAAGCAAGATCCTGAGGTTGAGTTGATACACTACTGGGGAGAAGAACAGGTTACTGATATTATGACTAAGCCATTGTCCAAAGCCAAGTTTGAATATCTTCAATTCAGACTTGGTGTTTCCAGCAATGATATCAAGGAGGAGTGTCGAATGGTGATACCATGCTGGAAATGAAAAAGTTGGCAGAAACTTTTTGAACTGCAGTTTTACCGCCAGTTGGACTCCCGCTATTCATGCAGAAGCAGATTTTGAGTTACTGTATTGGATTGATTCAGTGACATGTTTAGGTGTATTAGGTTTGGTTAAGTGTAATTTCACTCATGCTTGTACGTGTATTAGTAGGTGTAGTAAGTTTAAATTTGAATTTTGAAATTTCATTAGTTGGAACAGTGGCGTGTGCATTGTATATTTTACCCCTATTTTTTTAATAAAAAACAAAGCATTATTGTAGTCTCACGTTTATTTTTCGTTCATCTGTTTTTTTCCTTCGTTTCCATGCAAAACCATCAAAGCAACTCATGAAATTCACCCAGACCTAGGACTGGTGGGCAAATTATTTGCAGGCAGAAGTTCAACAATCTACAGCGAATTCAAATGAAAAATGACTAACAATCTTGTAAGGTAGAATAAGCTATTTAGGGAAGTCATAAAGACAAATTATATAAACAATTCGGCATCAGAGCATAAATCCCTTCAACACAAACAAAATCAATATACTTTTCTCAACATTCATCTCCATCAACTATATGTTTCAGACAGCTCATAAGATTGCACTTGTATGTTTTACATGTGTCATCTCCCTACGGCAAGCTCCACCTTTTTGCAGGACTGGGATTAGCTATGTAACGTGCATAGATTCAGCAAACATGACTATAGATGGATTGGTAGAGAAAGAGAGAAATAAATCACCTTAACTTGAGACTCAGTTTTTGGAGCTCCTATTTTTTGTGCTTCACACACTTCAAATTAAGACCTTAAAAGTACTGGACTGGTTATTGCCTATTACAATGTGAAGAACGGTGAGCTCAAGGCAGGTGAACCCTTGACAGTTCCAGGACAAGTAGCAGATGCAGCCTTGAAAACATATATTTTCCTTTTATCAAAGATTCAAGGGAATATATCTTATATAAGGCAAAATTTAGGACAAAGTAACAATAGCAGGTATCACAATATAGATTCACCAAGAATGTCATCTTACAGATTTGAAAAATAATAATCTTTAAGAATTTCCAAAAATAAAAAAGAGAATATTAAGAATTTGACATCAATTATGCTCAATTTACTCACAATGACCTCAATAAGTTTTCATGTTTTGTACATGTTCTATGGTAGTCTCATTATCAATGTTGTCAATGTAGGTTTTAGAGCTAGATTATACTAAGAGAAAGAAGGCTAACGTGCATGTAAGAGAGAGTTATAAAGAGAGAAAAATTTCAACATGTATCTGCTCTGTTTTCGTTCATAGAATAGGGGAGATAAATACACAAAGTTCTCACTGTTTCAACAACTCTTACAGTGAGAAATTTTAACAAATACAATGCAAACCAAACAACTCTAACTAATATTGTTTTACAATATCAAAAGTGGCCTTAATCACCGGATGTCATCCCCTAAAACATCATCTAACAATTTCAAAAAACAACCAAATACAACATTTGAAAAACAACCTAACATAATCAAACTTGGAGCCAAAATACAAACTTTGAGCAGCAAACCTTTTTCCAGCAAAATATCACAGATTTTAACACTCCTCCTTGATATTCTTGTTGGAAACTCCAAGTTTGAATCTTAATTCTTCAAACTTGGATTTGCTCATGGGTTTAGTCATTATATCAGCCACTTGATCTTCTCCCTTGCAATGAATCAGCTTCACTTCACTATTTTGCTCAGCTTCCCTCACTGCATGGTATTTGATTTTGATATGTTTAGTGCAGCCATGAAGGACTGGATTTTTTGTCAGAGCAATTATCGATTGTCACAATATACCACATTTGCCTCACTCTATTCCAGCCTTAAATCCTTTAGAATTTTCCTCAACCAAATCAATTGGTTGACTGCAGCAGTAGCAGAAATATATTCTGCTTCTGCAGTTGATTGTGCTACAACCTCTTGTTTTTTGGAAATCCAGCTTATGGCACCTAAGTTTAAGAAAAAAAATAACCTGAGGTACTTTTCATGTCATCCAAAGAACCACCCCAGTCATTGTCAAAGTAGCCATATAAGTTGAGTTCTTCAACTTTCCTGAACCAAATTTCCAGGTCTGCACAGCCTCTAACATACCTGAGAACTCTTTTTGCTACTTGCAAATGCAGCTCACTCAGTCCATTCATAAATCTAGAGAGTAAGCTAACTGCATACATAATGTCAGGTCTTGTTACTGCTAAGTACAACAAGCACCTAACCATGCTTCTATATCTGGTTTCATCCACTTTAGCAGCTTCATCATCTCTACACAACTTGATTTTGCACCAGAGGTGTGCTAACTGACTTGCAATTTTCCATTCCAAATTTCTTAAGGAGTTCATTAGCATATTTCTTTTAGGAAATGAAGATACCGTTAGGAGATTGATAAACTTCCATTCCCAAGAAGAAACTCATTTCACCTAGGTCAGTCATCTCAAACACATTGTGCAACTCAATCTTAAATTCATTCAGCCAAGTGGGATTACTTCCTGTCACCAGGAGATCATCAACATACAAAGACACAAATGTCATCTCATCACCAATCTCTATAACATATAAAGTATGCTCATTTGGACTCCTTGCAAACCCCAAACTAATCAGGCATTCATTGATCCTGCTGTACTAAGCCCTAAGTGCCTACTTCAGGCCACACAAGGCCTTCCTAAGGAGATACACTTTATCCTCTTGCCTTTCAACTTCATACCCTTCAGGTTGTTCTACAAAAATTTCTTCATCAAGCCACCCATTTAAGAAAGCAAACTTCACATCAAGTTGGAAAATTTTCCACTTGAATTGGGCTGCAAGTAAGAGGAGAAGTCTTATTGTGTCATGCCTTGCTACAGGTGCGAAAGTGTTAGAAAAATCCACTCCAAATTGTTGCACATAACCCTTTTACCATAAGCCTTGCTTTATACCTGTTGATTGAGCCATCTGAATTCAATTTCTTCTTATAAACCCATTTCACCTGGATGACTTTCCTCCCAACTGGTCTGTCCACTAATTCCCAGGTGGCATTTTTCTCAATCATGCCTAACTCATCTTCCATTGTTGCCCTCCATTCTTTTACCCTTACAGCTTCAGAGTAGCATGTTGGCTCCATCAAAGCCATGTTACATCTCTCATAAATCTCTACCAAAGTTCTTGTGCCCTTGGTAGGAGCTTCTTCTTCAAAATCTGAGCTGCAATCTGAAGCTTCTTGGTTGTCTAACAGATCTCCTCCTTGCTCCAGCATTCCTTTCTTCTCAACTTCATTTATTTCCCAATTCCACAAAGAGGCTTCATCTACCTTCACATCTCAGTTTATGGTAGCGTGCCGAATGCACTAAATTAATTAACCTTACTAACCTAACTACTAAATTGTATATAGGGTGAGCAATGGTCGATCCCACAGGGAATGATTCGATTAAATCCTATATTCTATGCCAATAACCACAACGAAGACAACAGGAAAATAAAATAAAATCCTAAACAGTAAATACGACAACAAAATAATGAAAGGGGTTGTAATCAATGCAATCAAAAGTGAAACAAATAAATCTCCGATGGTAGAAAATATCAAATTAAGAACAACCAGTTCTCGGTTCAAGATCCACCTAAACATGCATTGGACACTAACTAACCGTAACATTATTCTATCTTGTTATTATGGAATTACTGACCCTAGGAAACAACAAGCTCTGTTACCCAAATTTTCCCTTAATAGTCAATACTGAAATAAGCTCTTCAATTAGATCATAACCTTTGAATAACCTAAAGTAAGCTATCTAAGTTTAATTCAATGGCAACCTTAAGAATTAGGAAAATAGATCAATCCAAGCAACAATCACGAAAGATCGGATTATTTAACTTAGGTTATGTTATTCAAGGTGATAGACTGAAAACTTGTCTGTAATTATCTATCATCATTTGTTACTCATTGAATAGAAATAGGACAATTACGTATCACAATTCCTAATTCTAATAAATAAAATTCTGATTAAACAATTTAGCAAGTCATTACTAAATCACCCAAACAGAAAATTATAAACAATTAAAATAGGATAACATAAAAAATTCCAATAAAAACGAGATTGAGAACAATGTTACTGAAGTTAAGTTACACCAATGACATGAATTCAGGCTTCAAATCCCCTTGAACTGAAGAAAGATCAGCCGCACATCTTAACGTAGAAAGTAAAAAAAAAACTAAAAACTAAACTCTACTGTTGTTCTCTCCTTTTAACCTAACAACTCATAAATAAATAATATGTTTTTTCCTTAATTCTCTCCCATGAAAAACAGAAATTACTGTCCTAGATTTTTCCTAAACGATAGACTTCCAAAACTATCAAAATCTTATTAGATATGGAAAACAGAATTCGTAATCCAGCTTGCACCAGGATTCTCGCAATGCAAAAGAACTTTTCTGGGCTTAGTCACTTCACAAAAGTTGTAGTCCTGGATGTGTAGATGAATTTGGGGCTTTTGAATCACCTGCTTTCGATATCTGAAGCTCTAGTTAGGCCCATTCGAAGACTTAATACTCAACCAAGAAATCCTTTCGCAAATAGGATCTAGGTCCGGTTTTGTAACAACTAATGAGGGCCCAAACGAACTCGGATTCTTGCCCATAATACCTTCCTGGAATGCTTGATTCGTCTACCTTACTTTTTCTGAAGAATACTTTTGTAATCAAGAAATCTGACTCCATGAAAAACCTGAAAACCGCAGCACTAGTCAGAATAACAAAAATCTGGAATTCCCTAATCTTTTCTCAATTATTTCATAAAGTCTATCCAAATATGCCAAACTTACAAAATAAACTCTAATCAACTCAACTAGGCATAAAACATAACAAAAAACATAATATGGAAGGAATAAAAATATATAAATTACACTCTTATCAATTTACTAAAAACTTTTTTGTCTTAGGATTATAAATCCTAAATGCTTTAGACATGTTACTGTATCCAACCAGAATTCTAGTTTCAGCCCTCTCATCCAATTTGCTTCCTTTGCCAGCTGGAATATGTGCATAGCAGATACTCCCAAACACCTTGAGGTTGTCAATGCTTGGCTTTACTCCATACCAAGCCTCAAATGGAGTCTTGTTGCCAAGGGCTTTAGTTGGCAGCCCGTTTAGCAAATACATTGTTGTATTTACAGCTTCTACCCAGAAAACTTTAGGAAGTTTTTTTCTCAAACAGCATGCACCCAGCCATCTCTATTACCGTCCTATTTTTTCTTTACCTCACACCATTTTGTTGTGGTATGTATGGACTGCTCAGTTGGTGCTTTATTCTAGCTCCCACACACAATTCTTCAAACTGATTTGAGTTGTATTCTGCACCATTATCACTTCTAATTATCTTCAAACTTAAACCAGTTTGATTCTCCACCATTTGTTTAAATTTCTTGAATATTGCTGCCACCTCACTTTTTTGCTTCAAAAAATACACCTAGCACATCCTAGAAAAATCATCTATAAACAGGAGGAAGTACCTACTACCATTCAAGGAAGAGACTTGCATAGGTCCACACACATCTGTGTGTATGAGCTGAAGTTTTTCAACAACTCTCCAGGCTTGATTTGCTGGGAATGGTTGTCTATTGAGTTTGCCTATTTGACAGATTTGGCACACCCCTCTTTTCTCCTCAATTTCAAGCATATTTTGGACAAGGCATTTCCTCTTCATCTCCTTGAGGGCAATGTAATGAAAATGGTCAAGCCTTTTGTGCTATATTTCTGTCTCATCAAGCTTGACAGACAAAGCTTGAGAATCTGACTTCCTCCACTCAATTGGAAAACTTTTTCCTAGCATTCCCACTCTCATCAATTCATTGCAACAACTATCAACTACAATGCATGACATATTTTGAAAATGCAATGAGTAATTCTTTTCTAACATTTGACCCACACTCAATAGACTTTGATTAATTTCAGGCACATAAAGAACATTTGAAATGTATTTTGTACCTAATGGAGTTGGAACGACAACCTCACTTCTTCTCTTGACCTCCACAAATCCTCCATTTCCAATCTTAACTCTAGATTGATAGGAATTATCAAGACTCCCAAAGCTTACCAAGTTTGGAGTCATGTGGTTTGTACAGCCACTGTCAATCAACCAAACATCACCACAAATTTTTTTATTCAAACATGAGGCCATGAAGAGCTGCTCAGCATCTTGACTTGGTTGTTGAATCTCCAACACCTGAGCCTGTTGCTCCTGTTGATTTCCCTTATTTTTACGCACTTTTTCTATGTGACCGAATTACTTGCATGACCTGCATTGTATGTCAGGTCTAAACCAGCATCTACTTTCTGAATGATTCTTCTTTTTGTAGTGTGAGCATGGAGGAAATGACCTCATTCCACACGTTTTCCTCCCTGAAAGTTACTCTTCTCTTTTCCCTTATTTTCACCAACATACTTCTTGTCTTCCCTCTGGTATACTCTTCCTTTCTGACTTGCAACCATGGCTACCTCATTTGAAATTTCTTACCTCAGCAGCCTTCTCTGCTCTTGAGCTTGAAGTGAGTGGACAAGTTTAGCCAAACTGATTTGGGACAGATCTTTAAAGTCTTCTAGGGATGAAATTTTTGCCTCAAATCTTTTAGGCAAACTGACCAGGACCTTCTCCACTATCCTCTTATTAGTCAGCTCCTCACCAAGCAACTTAATCTTATTCACCACATTCATAAGCCTATCCACATACTCCTTGACAGACTCAGCCTCTTGCATCTTAAGCATCTCAAATTCTCTCCTCAAATTTAAGACTTGCATGTTGCGAGTCTAACTACTTCCTGCAAACTCCTCCTTGAAGATATCCCAAGCTTCTTTGGGAGTTTCACACGCCACGGCCCTAGAGAAAACTTGGTCAGTGACAGCTAAGTGTATGCATGACAAAGCTCTTGGAGCTTTGGCTAACTCTTTTTCATGAATTATCATCTAGTTCAGCATTGGGTTTGGTCCAAGCTGTGGAACTTGCCTCTCCTCCTCCACATATTGCCACAAACCATGGCCTCTCAAATACGTCTTCATCTTGACAGCCCAAACATGGAACTGATCACCGTTGAAGATAGGTGGAGAAAGTGGAGTTGGGTTTAATGCCATGAGGAAGCTCACATATGGTGTTTTTGGTCCCGAAAGATCAAGGATGGCTTTGATACCAATCGTAGGTTTTAGAGCTGGATTATACTAAGAGAAAGAAGGCTAACGTGCATGTAAGAGAGAGTTATAAGGAGAGAAAAATTTCAACATGTATCTGCTCTGTTTTCATTCATAGAACATGGGAGATAAATACACAAAATTCTCACTATTTCAACAACTCTTGCAGTGAGAAATTTTAGCAAATACAATGCAAACCAAACAACTCTAACTAATACTGATTTACAATGTCAAAAGTGGCCTTAATCACCGGCTGTCATCACCTAAAATATCACATAACAATTTCAAAAAACAACCAAATACAACATTTGAAGAACAACCTGACATAATCAAACTTGGCACCAAAATACAAACTTTGAGCAGCAAACCTTTTTCCAGCAAAATATCACAGATTCTAATAGTCAAATATATCTTGCTCTGTATATACAACTAAATTATCAATTATCCATTCTTCAATCTCATTTTGCAGTCGATCCTTTACAATCTTCTGTGTTGAAAATGCTCTTTTCATAGTGGGACTAGTAACCAGTAGAATCAAGGCTAATGTCACCAACAAATAAACTAATGGATACACGCTATCTTTCCTAGGCTCAACCACTCTTTCAGCAAGATTACTGATCCCTTTCGATCCCAAAAACTCAATGTTAGGACGCATATCCATAACATAAGTCTCAAGTTGCATTTCAAGTGCCATAAGCTCTAATCTAGAGAATTCTTTTGGATAAAATTCAGCAAAGCGCAATAACTTTTGTTTATTAAAAGCAGCAAAGGAGTTGCTTGGAGAAAGACATGTCAAACAAATAAGCAATTCAGAATTCACCTCATCGAAACGGTTGTTTAGCCTTGAAGTTGCATATCTAAAATGCCATAGAATAATTCAAAGCAATAGTAGTAAAAATTTGTGATCTCTTGAGCTTCATGTCTTGGTCGTCCTTGAGTTGGATATTTATCATTCATGTTGGGCACATCTATACTATGTTCAACAGAAAAAGATGAAACTTGACCAAGTAAAGAATCCCATCCATGCTCCCTCATCACTAGCAATTGTTGCTTACATAATCAACCAACTTCGTAGCATTCACAATACCTTGATCCCTCATTTACAATGCTCATGATAATTCATTTGAAATTGCAAGTATTTCTTTCATCAAACGTAGACAAAAAAATAAAACTAAATGAAAGCATGAAGTCCAATATAATATTTGCTTGGTACTTTTGGTCAAGGTTTGATACATCATCTGCAATTATCTCAAGCATATCAATTATGCATGAGAACCTAGTGATGACGCTTATTAAAGTATCGTAAAATGAACCCCAACATGTATCACCAAAAGACTTCAAAGTAATATCTTGATCTAGATATTGTCCACTTGAAAGCCCATTTACTGTTAAGTGCTTGATTATCTGTAAGAGCTTGTTTTCCCCAAAAGATATCACGATGTACTGAGGCTTCAACAACATTCATCATTTTACGAACTGTACTAAAGAGAGCTTCAACTGGAAGATAATTACTTGCAACAGTTAAAAAGAACCGTTTGAAGTAGATTAGCAAAGCAGTGAACATACTGACACATTCACTCTCCCTCGTAATGAGAGTTTTAAGATCGTTAAATTCACCTCTTATATTACAAACCCCATTGTAACCTTGCCCCCGTAACTTAGACATACTCAGTCCACATCTAGAAAATAGCTTATCAAGCGATGTCTCAAGGAACAGTGCTTTGACACTAGTAACATGTTCAAGACCTATAACTCGTTCAATCACGTGTCCATTATTATCAACATAACACAATATAAATACAAATTGCTCATTATTTGCATCAATGTATTCATCCATCAACAAAAAAAAAAAAAAAAAAAAAATCTGCCCCCCATCTCTTTGACAATAACATTGGTAATTTCATTTGAAATACAATGTCTTTGTAAATATGAGGTGATTTGGATTTGAGATTTTCAGAAGCATTCTTCAAATCCTTATTGATTGCCAATAAATCGTAAGAGCTCAAAAAAGTTCCCCTCGATGCTNGATAGGATACGTGAATCAGATTTTTTTCATTGATTCAATAGTGATAATTTTCAAGAGTTAACGACATATTCTCACACAAAAAATGATTCATTGGTACTTTTCACCCTCAAACTTTTAAAATACCGTTTTACTATCAAAATATTAGGTTTTCCTCTGATTTTGGTGGGAAATAAAGTAATTTACTAAAAAACTTTTCTTTTTTTCTTCTCTTTTTATCATCTTCAATTGCCAACAATTGTCGCCGGTTACCAGAAAATCAACAAACAAATCACAAATATTACAAATAAACATTCCTCAATTGTTTTCAACCCTACAAACACAAAAATAGAATGAATCAAACCCAATTAATCGATCAAAACTCAAAAAACCCTAGGGTGGGCAAGCTTCAGTTGTCGGCGATTGGTGAGCAAACGGGATCGAGAATGTTGAGGCTTTTGGAGAGGAAGATCCAGGGAGTCAATTGGTTGTGACAGGGACGATTTCCGACACCAGAAATCGGCTTGGAAGTTGAAAGGTCGCGAGGTGCACAGCTTACAATCGGCAAGCAAGGGATCGTGATGGAGGTAAGGTGTAACGCCCACATTGAGGTATATAACTAATGTATGTTTTTATGCCCTTAGTTTTGCTTATTTCAAGGAGAAAGATTGAAAAATCGACACTTGCAAACTTCGCCGCGGCAAAGGAATTTTGTCGTCGCGGTAATGAACTTTTTGCCCAAATTTGTTTTAGAAATTTCAGACTTCGCCGAGGCGAAGAACTCTTTGGATTTTTTCGCCTAGGTGAAGAGCCGGCTAGAATTTTTGAAAATTTTAGAGAAATCTTCCTTAGGGACAAAATGACCATTCTACCCCTAATTAGTTGAAAACGTGGGGAGTGAAAAATAAGGATATTTGATGGAGAATGTAATAAAGGTAAGGGCATTAGTGTAAATGACTAAGGGACAAAGATGAAATTTTCTATAAAGTGTAAGGGCAAAATGGGAAAGTATGCCTATTAATATGAGATATTAAGGGTTCAAGCACAAAAGAATGAAGTTGATTTGATGGGGACATTTTCAAGTTCTTTTATATTTCTTCCTAACACATCATTGTCATCATCCTTTTCAATCACATCAATTTCTTCATCTCTATTTTCTCTCATCCCTATTGATTCACCTGCAAATTCATTTTCAATGTTGAGGGCATCAATTTGGCTAGGTGCCATGCTCGATCACCGGTGGCAGTAATATCAGAAAATAAAGCATCCATAGCGGTCCCATATTAATGACAAATCCTTGTTTTTAAATTTCTTATATTCTTTATTCACCTGCAATGTGTTAATTTAGAAAATTAGGGACATTTCAAACAATTAATATCAATTAAAAAAAATACATAAAAAAAAAAAGTTGCAACTACCTTTATTTTTCATCCACCATTTGTCATCACAATAATTGTTTTTCTCACATCATCCCAACCTAAACCTGTCTCCCCTCTCATCATTGCTTGAAAAGAGTCCAATCTTTTTCATGGCATCCCAATGATTTCTCTTCTGCTTTCTATTATAATTAATACCAGTCATTTCATTGAATGCCTTGATCAAATTGTTCCATCCAACAGAAGATAAATGACAATTTGGTCGATTTCCTTTTCTAATTTCTTCTTTGCAAGTTCAATAAAATTAAGGTGGCATGTCTTCCATTTTGCTGATACTTGAGATTGTATTACTTTTGTTGTACTTTATCCATCTAGAATTTTAGATTGAAAAGAGGAAATCATACAAGTCATTCACAAGAAATGGATCAGATGCAAAACAAATTCTCTACTGAAGTGCAAACCAATTTACTGAAGGAATATTGAATCAAATACTGAATCAAATATTAAGAAAAATGGTCCCAATGGATTGTTTCTAGTGACATGCCCACACTTGATCATAAAACTATATCAATCCATGTTCAACAACATAATAAATATAATAAATCAAATTCATCACAAATTCAAACTTTGAAGAACAAAACAACAAAATCATAAAATTTAACACTCATATTTCGCTCAATTAAACTCTAAAACCTTGACTTCAATGTGCAAGTCAAAATCAAGCAAATGGTTTATTGATAGAGACAACAGATGAAGAAAATAGGCGAAATAGTAATAAGGAACAGGGGACTACTGCTCAAAATATTATATTATCTGTAATGAGTATAAGCATTATTATAGGGACAAGTAATGGTTACATTGATAATGCTTGTGATATGGAAGACAAGTATCTAGTTATGCTTTTTGTTTGGGCCTACTGCTCTCTTGTCAATTATTGCGGTTTCAATCACATGATTCATTATAGGCCCACAAAGCCTGAGGAATTGGTGCTGCAGAAAGCAAATTACTAGTGGGTATCAGCAAGGACTTGGTGCGTTAATTTGCATTATGCTCTTTTCTTCTTATTTTTGTATTCCCGATAGAATTTCTTCGACGGCCTCCTATTGACAAAACATCTAAACCGATTGGAATACTGTTAAAGGCTTAAAGCAGACGAAACCCAGACAGTTTAACGTGCAACCTCAAAATCAAGCAAATAAGTCATATCAATCACTTCAAAAATCACAAGGGAACAGAGACAGAAATATATTAAATAACAAAAAGTCGCTAAACCCTAAATTCCACCATTAAACTAGAAAATTACAAGAACAATTAAGGTATTTACCTGATGAAGAGAGAGCAGTGAACCCTAAACCCTTCGTGGAAGAAGATTTTTGCTTCACAAATTGAATACAAACAGATAGTAATATGACTTATTTCAAATATAAAAACAAGAGATATACTATAATTTTAAAATTATAAGGATAATGTGATAATATGCTTGGTCAAACTAACTTATAAGCAGAATGTTTATAAGCAGCCCCCCCCCCCCCCCCCCCCCAACTGCAACCTTTTTTTTTTTTTTTTTTTTTTTTTGCTTATAAACTCAAAAAAATTATAAACAAATAGGTGAATATAATTTTAGAACTTATAAACTAGTTTGATCAACTTATAAACGTAAACAACACACCCATAATCTTCTTGGTGGGTTTCCAGAATTCAGCAGTTTAACTGCAGAATTCCTAGTTTAAAACGCGGGCTTAGACCAAGGCGCAATTCCTAACAAAGAAAAACTAAAACCTACCACTGAAAGAGATAAAATTGCGCTTCGCGAAAGTTGCAAGTTTAGTGGAGGTAAAGGCTATGCTGTAGCTCTACAGCTTAAAAAGAACATTATCAGGAAATTCAGCATATCAATAACTGCCCGATTCAAGTTTAAAGTTTTTTCAGAAAATAAAAATTCCGAGTTAAGTATCCTGAATAGTGAAGAGACCCTTTTTCAGTCCCAGCTCACCCCTATATGCTAGCTTTATAATTAGCGCCACAATGTATGATTAATCCGGTACCTAGGGAGGAAGCCTTCATCATCTCCTTATCCAGTAGAAAATCCATACAGTTTCTTTTTCTTGGCAAGAAACAACAAACCTACTACTCTAAGTTCAATTCATCTCCACAATGATAATTGAAATTGCTCAATCCTACTTGAATAATCATCAATTAAACACCATTCAACACCTCGAATCATTATTTACAAGGGAAGAAAAGATATGGAGAAGCTCAGAAATTAAAGAAGTTGCCATTTAAATTGCACTAGGCCAACCCAAAAAAAATAGAGCCAAAATTAAATGAAAAGAAAACTTCACAAGACTGCAAGCCTAAGTAAATAAAATATACAGTAAGATTTTTTTTTTTCCCAAAAAATATTACACCGAGATTAGCCAATGTGTTCTAATTGCATTCTGGCACCATTTCAATGCATAAAGGAGTACCACCCCAATCTACATAGGGTCGAGTCTCAGCAGCCTGTAGTACCAACAGAAATGGCAAACGGAACTTGGTAAGGGTAGAAACAGAAATTGAACCAGACGGAAAGTTTCCTTGTCTAAGATCCTTAATCGTGACATAGCATCTTCATACAGATTAGTCACCTTGAAGGCAGTAAAGCTGACGGATATTTCCTGAGGCTGTAATTACAAGAGAATTATAATTATATACTGATCGTGCTGCAATAAGTAATAACTATTAAAAGTGGTATAGCATTTCAAAGATAGAAAGTTTAATTCTACACATCTTCATATGTTGGTCATGAAATTTCAAATCAAGGTAAAAGTTCATCTATGAATGTTAGAATGGGCATTGGTGCTCGCATCCCAGAGATTGACCACGAGAATTTTAGTCTGGATTGAGTGCCATCCAAGTCAAACCTCAGGATGTATCAGTTCCAATCTCATTTGCTGGTTAAACACAAGCTGGTTAAAACTTCTTACAGAACCCACACAGATGAGTCAATTATAAAACCTACTAAGAGGCATACAAAGAATCTAACACTGCAACTAATATTATTGTCTGACCCAAGACAAGAAAGGAGTGAAAGGTTACAACAAAATCTCAAAATTTTAAAATGCATTCCTTTACCAATTACAATTAGTATGGTATAGACATCCTTCACAATGTCAGTTCTCCACAGCCCAACAACAGTCTGTCGACCAGCTGGAATGTTATGGTGGTGAGAAGTGTATCCGTGTTGTAGGCTACTGGGATTAGATGCACACAAAGCCTACAATCCAGACTAAGCAAACTTGCTTTCTTAGTGTTTCCTGCTTTGGTGACCAAATACTTGTGTACTTTCCACTATTGCAGAAAGTGAACCTATGTAAACCATCCCGTTGAAACTTCTACATATATACCAACTTAGAAAATTAAACCGGTGAAACCCTCTTTCTGACAGAGAATGGCTTCACATATGCAGGTAAGTTCATC